ACAAGCTGTAAATCTCAACACTTACATACAAGGTAAGTACAAACTATAAATCTCAACACTTACATACAAGGTAAGTACAAGCTATAAATCTCAATAATTGCTGTATATACAAGGTAAGTACAAGCTATAAATCTCAACACTTACATACAAGGCAAGTACAAGCTATAAATCTCAATAATTGCTATATATACAAGGTAAGAGGAAGGTATAAATCTTCATACTTATATACAAGGTAAGTAGAAACTGTAAATCTCAATACTTATATACAAGGTAAGTAGAAACTATAATTCTCAATACTTAAATGCAAGGTAAGTAGAAACTATAATTCTCAATACTTAAATGCAAGGTGAAGTAGAAACTATAATTCTCAATACTTAAATGCAAGGTAAGTAGAAACTATAATTCTCCATACTTTTATACAAGGTAACTATAAATATTCTCAATACTAAAATGGACAAGATCTAAGAACTAATGTGTTGATGTTCTGAATTCTGTATTTTATCCTTGTCTTTATAGGTTTAGTGCATATTTTTAAACATCATCCCTCTTTCCTAAGGAGAAAGTGCTTAGCAAGTTATAATCTAAACCTTTAGAATTTTTCTTACATTTTTTTTCTCATTATTTAAGTATCAGCATCAGATTCGAACATCTCAGCACCTCAACAACAGGCACAAAATGTTGGAACCAACATAAACATCACCAATATTGGAGGATTACCTCAGAATTTTAATATTCAAGGCTTAACAGCAATACCTGGTATGAATCTGGCCAATTTACAGGGTCTACAGAACATGCAGGTGTCTCTGACAGGTGTTCCAGGTGGTGCCATTGCAGTTCCAATATCAATGATAAATTCCAATCCAAATATTATACAGAATCAAACTGGGTTGTTTGTCAGCTCTTTACCTAATCTATCCACATCAACATCATCTACTGATCAGTTACAGTCTATATCATCTATAGCACCTCATTCTCAGGTAAGAATCAGGTTGTCATTTCACTGGTATCATACCATATCATTCTATTCATTCTCATCCAGGAAAGATCATTGCCAAGAAGTTTGGCAAAATCTTGATGATAAACCGGATCCTTCAGACTGAAATGACTTACTAAGATTTTATTTTGAAGAGAAAACAAGCTTGATCAAGTCCTCCTTCTGTAATGTCTTTCAGAAATCCAATTTAACAGAAAATCCACAAATTTATTTAAATATTCAGGAAACTTGTTATGTATTTTGTAGAACTTGAATACAACTGTCACATCGCCAGGATTAGTTACCATGGTAACTGGGCTTCAGACCACAACCCCACCAGTTATAAATACAACATCCATCGTGTCATCACCACAAGTTATAATGTCTACAGGTAATACAGCATTTCACTCATCCATGATGTATTTTTCTTATGAGGGGATATGTGTACTTTTGCTTCAAATTTATAAAGATTATGTTCGAACTTGTAAAAGTAATTGAATTTGAAAGTGAATTAAAGAGGCACATTTTTTTTTATCTGTTTCCGAAATTTAAATAATAAAAGATAGTAAATAAGATTCCAATTTTGTGTGTATATATAATCTATATTTATCTTTATATTATATACCAATACTTGTAATGTGTGGTGCTTTGTGGCGCATGTTGTCATGATCTTCGTTTACCTCCTACCAGGGCCCACGTCATCAAATCCCAACAGTACCGCCAGTGTGGTTGGCAGTGGAGTAATACCACAACAATCTTCAAATATGTTATCTTTACCGATTGGACTGCAATATTTACCTGTTAGTTCGAAAGCTCAAGCCAGCACAGGACTGCGACCGTCTGCCTCTATGCCACTGCTACAGGTGTGGGTTTAAATATTTTCTGATTAAAAATCTTATGAATTGGTCAAATTTAAGCAAACATTTTGTATTCATTTCATATGAAATTTGTTTTGAACAGTATTAATCAGATTGTATTTAAAGCTTTTTGTATTGCTTTGTTTATCACGACCATAATTTGAACTGCAGATGTAATAAGCAAAAATAAGTAATTAGCAAATTTATGATAAGTTAAAATGGTTCAGATTATGGTCAATAAAATATCATCAAACCATTTATGAACATATTCAATAAGTTTTTTTATGTGTTTACATATATTTAAGTTTGATGGTATTTCTGTATTTGCATGTTGTGTTGAGCACAGAAGTGTAGCCTTTGTATTGACAGAAGTCAGATAATGGAGAAAAAAAATTTCACATATAGATTTTATTCGTTTTATTTTCTAGTTAACGTCTAATAGAAAATGATGTTTTGACAACATTCAGTGAGCAGCCTTGATTAAGTCTCTCATTTCATTGCCTTTCAGCTCCCTGGTCAACAATCTATACAGCTTTTGAATCTCCCTCAACAGAGAGCTCAAATCAAAGGTTCAATAGGTCAAGGTCAAGGGAATATTGGTAGAAGTCAACAAGGAACATCCAATATACCAATATCTAATGGTAATTAAAGATTAGTTTACATGCTTAAAGGGATGTTATAGTCATTGTTTGATTGGTATTAATGTATTATCCAAAGTCAATTAATTGTCGATTTTGTACATTCTGGTTAGCATACTTAGCTCCATGTGGTTGAAGATAAATGATGCTGAATTATTTTGACTATTGACGTTTGAATTTATATTGTAATATTTACGAATAACTCAATTATGTATTTCAGTTATTACACAGAGCACCATGGCAACCATCTCTCAGTTAAATATGGGCAAAACTGTACAAGCTGGCCAAGGAACAATAACAGCACAGCAATTTATGCAGCTAGCATCTGGTTCTAATATCCAACCAGCACCACAAATGACAACAACTCAGTTATCTTTTCCAAAACCGTCCCAGAATCAACCATTACAATTTCATCATTTACAAGTTAAACCTGGGACTCCATTGACTTCACAAAAACCAAAATGTAAAAAACCACCAACACTTACTCCTCCTAAATGATAGTTAAATATATTTTAATTGTACATTACTAAAGAATAAAGATAAAATGTCCAATTGTTATTTTGCCAATGTCATGGAAAGCTTTCAAATTTTCTGTATCAACCAGGAACATCTTTTAAGTACTGTACAAAGTAAGAATCAAATTAGGTCTCAGAAATCTAAAAGTTTAAGTCAAAGTTTTTAAATTTTTTTTATTATTTTTTAGGCAGTGGCTATTTACCACGAGCATGGCAACGATTTACTAAGGCTATTTACCATGTAAATTTTATGTAGCAAAATAGGGTTCCTCTTATATAGCAGAATTTTTTGTTATTGCAAAGCTGATATTCCAATTATATTGAAAAAAAAAATTGAAACAATAGTAGCCTACAGTAGGCATAGCCTAGTAGGCCAGACAACATCTAGATTACTGGAACGTTGTGTCAATTTTGACCAGAAGTCGCTTGATGCTTTAAATAGTTTGGTGCCTCCTGATACCAGTGAAGAATTTATTATTATGATATCCATGCAGCGCGCTTGTCTCGAAGTTAATACTAGTTGAGATCTTAATAGGAATGTCACGATAAACGAGACTACTAAATGGAGTAACTTCCCTTGGACTGCATTCAGAAAGTTTGGACGTTGTAAGTAATTCCATAATATTTGCCAATCTTTACAAATTCCGAAGCTATTTGTTAAATCATGCTTTGATGTAGTCCGATTAAGATATCCATGCAACATAGATCAAACAAAGAAAACGACCATTTTTACTTGACTATTATGGCAAGGCAAGATAATATGATATAATAATAGGTGCATTCCTATGTAGCCATTTGTAGGCCTAATCCTAATAGTAGCTGAGCCAATGAATAGACCTACTCATCATAGAGTTATATATAGAAACATAACTCTATGGAACCCATTGAGACCTCATTGACTGAGCTGAGCCTTTTTATGTTAATGGCAGAAAGTGTTTTGCCGTAAAACTTAAGTAAAAGTAATGATTTAACCAACCGTGGATAAAACACCCACCGCTCACCTACCCTACGTCTTAAACTGAACATAAAATTAAAGCTCTCAAGAAATGTCAATTTGACTATATTATATTCATCAGTGAACTTGCCCGGTGTCATAAAGATACAACAGAAGCCGTATAAAATCTGGAAAATTGGAAAATTGATAAAACTATGTAATTATTGAAAAACTCTTAGGCCTGATCTTAATATTAAGCGTTTTACAATAGTTTTGCATATTTGTGGATAATTTCTAAGCTTTTGGATTTATCAGATTATATAAGGATCCTGTTATTATATTTATGACACCAGGTATATCTACTGATGAATATAATGCTCTTATTGGCCACATAAAATTCTTATATTTTATGTTCATTCTAAAGCCTTATTCCTTTAATTTTTTCTTTTTCGAAGGTATTGGTTTTTTACACCAATGGCAATATTTTATTCATGTCGATGACGATATGCCTATAATCATTCGAAGTATGTAAGCCTACTGCTGCTACTCTAACTAGAACTAGGCCTAACAAACGGCATAATATTACGTTATTCAACGATAAAAACGTAGCTGGTTGCAGGGTTTGTACGCTTCCGACAAAATCATAGGGCACAAAATTTTAAAAAGGGGTTCTCCTCGCTTAACTTTAGCATCTTTTACTTCAGGAATTTAACGTGGTGCCGCATATACCTGACAACCTCTTGATTGATCGAACTTTTGTATTGATTTTGTTGATCACGTCTCAAATATTGCAATCAATAGCCACAGAGGTCATGCCGCCACAGAGTTAAAAATAGAACTTAATTATTATATAGCACTATAACTCTTCTTTGCACTTAACTACATAAAGCCTAAACGACTGTCCAACTATGACAATGACAGTTTTGTGTTCAAAAAGCACAAATGATTAAGTTTTTACGCAGTAGAATAAATGAGTAGGCCTACATATACGACTATATGTTGAATATTATAATGAAACTATGTTCCGGAACGTTAAACACGACCTGTTTATTACGTATTATTGATTGCATTTTGCACTTTTAGATGTTAACACAGTCGTCTGGTTGAATGTTTATTTAGTGTAGAAATTATTTAGAGGAATAATCAGATATGGGAGGTTCGAATAGCAAGGATGGACATGTTATTAATGGTGGCAACCCTGGTACTTCAAAGACGTTACCTGAAGAACCACCATACCCTGGACCGTCTCCAGAATACAGATTCATCAATACAGAAATTGCTAATACTGGTAGATACACACTGGGCGGTGCTGGTGCTGGTAAAGAAATTATCTCTAGTAATATAGATTCAGTATATCCAATGTTTGCAGGGCATTATAATGAAAACTTTCGTCTCATGTCTTTTTATAAGACACCAATGATCAGACGTGAAGGAATGTTTTCCTCGACCATCTTGATTCCATACCAGGCCATCTTCTATCGATACCCACACCCAAACGAAGGCTGGCGATTAGAGATTGAGAAATCAGCTATAGAAGGAAAAGTCGATTACAACCATAGTTTCATCAATCCACAAGGTATATCAACAGATTCATCACATTTGATACAGTCAATTGCAAGGCACAGTGAGCAGGGTGGCAGATTAATCTGTATGGAGGAAACAGGACAGCACATAGCTAAAGGTTTTTCAGCTGGACTTTCTGGACATATACCAAGTAAGTGTGACAAATTATCTATTGAAGAGTGTTCGAATCTTGTTTTTGCTACAATCAAATGGTTCCCTGTTATTTAGGCAGAAATATTTTAAGCAAATGTAAGTTAGAAGCAATACTTTTAGGAACACTTCTTTTAGGCACACGTTCATTTGGGCGCAGGTCATTTAGGCACATCCCCAATTAAGCACACTTTTTAGGCACACCAATTTTCGGCGATAGAGGACGTAAGCCTGTGAAAAACATAAATTGAACGTGTGTCTTGTTTTAAATCCTATATAGTATACAATTTGAATTGGTAATAGTGTTACCACCTTAGAACAATTTATTTTTGTAAATGCTTTCTTTCGCTATCATGTGACCAGGATGATCTCTCTTTTTGTTTCATTTTGACTGTTTTTTCATTATTATTTTTTTCTTGCATTTTTGCTTTTAGTCTTTGGTCTTTTGGGGCAATCCCCCATTACGCTACCATCCCCCAGATGTCCCTCAATTGACATTGTGCCCAACATTAGTGTGTCCAAGTACCCCTCACCCTCCTTTAACAAAACTGCGCCTTTTGTACAGTTCAGTGTACAGGGGCATTATGATTTTTTCGTAGATCGGAAATATTGACACTTCTTGATTTCCCGCCAATGGTGTCTGGCCCTAAACGTGCCGATATCCCTTACGTATATCACGAATAGGAACGGGACGGGACAGATATGTCAAACAAGTTTAATTAAAGTGTTTGTTTTTTTTTCAGCTGTCGGTGTGGACATATTTTTTGATATGCCAACTCATCCTAATCCAGAAATCTACACCTATCAGATGACCACCATACCAATAACGGCACGCGGCAAATTTGGCGGTGAAATTGCTGCAGATTGTGACTGGGCCACTCATTTAGGACAGTTCTTATCTCAAGGGTGGCGGCTTGTAGAAATATTTCTTGATAACAGCTTGGTAGTTGGCAAAGCCTTTTCTGGCACAGTTTACATGAATGCTGTCTGGATTTTTGAGAAGCCGATGTCCAGAGTGAATGATCCAACGCCTGTTTACCAGGGAACCTTTATAGAGCATTTCGTAACAATAAAAGGTGGACTGGGTGGCAAAATTTCCGGTAATTTTGACTGGGATCAGAAGATAAATGAAATGGCCAATAATGGTTGGGAACTGGCATGCATTTTAAAAACTCCCGAACAACGCATTTGTGGATTCGCCAAAGCCAAACTTAAGTTCATAATTTTTTTTCAAAGAAAAATTTTATCCGAAGAAGCATCCGGTGCCACCGGTGGATATGATAAACCACCTTCTTATGATTCTCTCAAAGGATAAAACAATTTTCCTTTTATTAAAGATGCTTTATGGAATCTCATCCAATGTTTCACAGTCTCCTATGCTCAAAACATAATATTTTGCCATTACTGTACCTATAGCGTCCATATTAACATACAAAATGTGGTTCGTTTTACACAATCCTCGTTCTGGTAAACTCTAATCAATCTTTCAGATCAGGGCCGTGCAGATCTACAAGATGTAGAACCTGCGAGCATATTTTAACAACCAATTCTTTCTCTAATAAGCATAACGGTAAACAATTCCCTATTAACGGCGAGCTTTACAATACGTAGGCGAAACTAAAAACTCTTTGAGAGAAAGAATTAACGGCCATCGTTTCGACATCTCCCATCATCTGGATAAACCTATTGGGAACCATTTCAATTCTCCCAACCATTCCCTCACAGATATGAAGGTAGCGCCCATCGCAGAAGAAGACACCAACCCTAAAAGTTCAAGACTATACAAGGAGAGCTTTTGGATGAACCAACTAAAAACCATTTCGCCCTGTGGACTAAATATACAGTTTGATTCTCAAATAATCCCATTTGTTGCTCCATTCAATAACATTTCTTGCCAAGCATCCCGAATTATCAAAAGATACTACACAGAGTTACAAAATAAATTTCCCACTATTTTTTACAAAAAATTAGTCATAGCTTATTCGAAAAATAAAAATCTACAGGATATTGTTGTTCGTGGTCGACTTGACCCCACCGATGATGTAGAGTGATCTAATAGCATTAAATATTCTCATTTTCATTGTCTTTGTACTTTATAGTATATAATAGTCTAAAACAATTTACTTTCTATACCTGCAGCCATTAATCGCTTTTCTTCATTATTCCAGAAAATTTGAAGCAGTCAATGTAGATTATAAGTATTATGAATTTCTTTATTAGGTCCGAGAAGATTTATATGATAACCGTTATGATAATCTTTGATTTAGTTCATTGCATATTAGCATCACAATTATTGTAAACATAACTTTAACCCTGTGCCAGTGCCTTATATTGAATAGTAACTGGTTACTCTTCAATCACCCTAATCCCTATTATATTACTATTATTATATTTTAACCTACTGATATTTAAAGGGACAAGTTCGCCTTCCGTTTGACCAATTATACCTTAGTCTCAGATTTTTTTAGCGAATCAGAAATATTGTTCACAGCTAAACGGCGCAATTTTGTTTATAACTATGCAAATAAGGTCATGTATTCATGCACCATGTAAAGAGAACGGCATGGCATTCTTTGAAGATAAAATTGAAGGTAAATCGTTCCAAATAACATAATATTGATTAAAATTTCAATTTAGTTATCACATGAACGTGTATATCTAGATCTTATTTGTTAAAGCAAGGACATTTTGTAGCAAGGTGCAAAAATGTGAACCTCTGAATTAAGGCCCTGTAGAAAAAGTGCAAGGAATTTAAGGGCAGTATGCGTTTATTGATAGTTGTGTGATAAATAGAATCTTTCATGCGTTCTTATGCGTTATTATGAAATTTATGAAATTCATTGCCGGATCAAATATTAACACCGCCAAGACTCGGGTAATATTAAATCCGGTAACTCATTTCATAAATTCCATATGACATAAGCTTTCGTTAAAAGATCCTCTGTGTATCTAATGCTTCCACGATTAAGCTGTCCCATAACGCATATTTTTATCTGTTTTTAAAATGTTATTTTTATCTTACCAAATTATATTTTTTTTAAAGATGTAAGAATTGAGGATCAACATTTTGAGGATCACAAACTTTTGTTTTTGTTTTGTATAAATTTATTATGATACTTATAATGATATATTTCTTTTAATACTATTCTGATATAAATGTTATTGAATTAGTCTTCTTCTTTTTTTAGCTGTTATAGCCTTGCTAATAACTCATGTCCAATTTTGAACCTTAAGTGACGTCCCCAGACTGGTCGCTGAATGGACCAAGTTTGTAACTCTAATATAAAATTTTATGAATAATCACGTTAATTCTTGAAAACATCAGCTCAATCCATAGTTCCATACTCGATAATATAATAATAATAATAATAAAAAACAGCATATTATTGGTAATGCAGCAAGCCATTGTCGACCATTGTTCTACTTGTTGGGTCGAAATGCATACGAATCAACGATCTGGGAACCAGAAGATCTATTGGTAGACAAGTTCCTCATCTGACCATGTTGTTATCTGTGTAACAAAAGATTATTTCTTGTTCTTTAATGGTTTGTATGATGATTAACCTACATCCATCCATCATTAACGTAGCCTCTCCATTATTCTATTATGACGTTCAGAAATGTTAATTGAACTGTCTTGCAACTATGGTGCTTCTTAGTTGTTTTATGACGTAAAGCCATTATTTCCTGTTATTATATTTGAGGTTAGAATGGGGTGTGGAGCCTCGCAGCCGAATGTTCACTGCACTGGATTATTAAGTGTTCTTTCATCTGAACCATATGATGGTGTAAAATATGAATACAGTTTCTATGCAGATGTGGTTCCCGTAAAGTTATCCAGTAGAACGGAAGGCCATGTCAGACATGTGGCGGATGCGGAACAGATAAAAGAGCTAATGAAAAACTTAGTTACAAAGTATGAAGACAACAAAAGATTGTTGATTCTTCATCATATTCCTTTACCGAACCAAAAATCAGACACCAGAAGAGCTAAAACTGAACGATTTCAAGGAATTCTGTACAAGAAGATTAACCCTTCATCGCCAGATACTGAAGTCGTTGATGCTGAAAAAAATGGACATTGTCCGTAGAGCATGTTAATATTCTTGGAAAAACCATAGGTGATGCCGGCTTTTATGACAAAGCTTTTGAAGTGAAGGCAGATACAAGCCACGTTATACAACTTTTACACAAAAGAGCAGCCAATGGAGACAGATTTGTAACAGCAGCTTTAACCGGGGCATCACTCTTCAATGGATTTAACTTCAGTTTAGATGGATCCAAACCCGGTATGTTGAGTCCTTCAATAACCATTGGACATTGAGATGATGGCTTCACCAGCATGTCATTCATGATGTAGTCAGTTAATGAAGTTCTTTTTTTAGCACAATAGTGTAATTTGGGAGCTCCAAAGATATGATAACCCATACAAAGCATATGATGTTCAACATTCCATTCGGAGAGCTCAAGATAAAATGAAATGAGTGGAGTTTAACGTCCTACTTTTCTGCACCATGTGGGCTCATAAAGAAGGGCAACGCCATGCACGGTAGCATTAGCCTGCTCTTTTTCGATTTCCAATTGTCGAGGGATCTTTAACGTGCACAGCCTGTAGCACATCGGGACTAGGTTTATTTATTGTCCCATCCGAACGACCGGACGCTTTTTCCATGTCAGCCCCTCTTACCTGAAACTGTTCAAATCCATCAAATCTATCAAAGTTAAGTTATAATGACTTTTCTTGTAAGTTTGCAAAATAAATCTCTGTTAATCTGCGAACGAACAACTTAAACCTTGAAGTATAGTAAAACCTCTATATCCAATGGATGCGAACATTTCTTTTCCAACCATACATATAAGAACACCTTCATGACGTCGGTTGGGTATATTGCTACCGCAAAGTCCCAGTTTGTAGTTGTTTTTGTAATTTACCGAATTTAAATCTATTATTGCCAACACAGGCTTTTTATAATTCTAGTTCTTCAGATGGATATGATATTTGAAGTTCCAAGTCCCCAAGTAACTGAGTTGTACAGTTACCATGTGGAACCTGTGACTGTTATTCAGAGGATGGTGGAAGGGACCACGGGCAACAGGATCTGTTTGGAATGCGATTGGGTTTGTGAATTTGATCAGCATTTAAAGAAAGGTTGGCGGCTGATTGATATATTTGCTGATGGAAGTAGTAAATGCAGACCATCTGTTGTTGGAACAGAGATTGTAAAAACTTTTCTTTGGGTGTACGAAAAACCACGCTCGGAGGACGATTGTACTCAGAGATATGAAGGTGCGGTAATTCAGCAGTCCACAGGTGCATCTCCAGAAAATGCAGTTTCTATACAAAATGGGGCAGCTTATTGGGAAAGTGAGATACGTCGAATGGGTTTAGAAGGATGGGAACTGGCTTGTATCATTCAAAATCCTTGTGTTCAAAGGACTATTTGCAAAATAAATTTTGGAAATATCATGTTTTTTCAAAGAAGACTGTCATGAAAAACGATTGGGAATTCTTGTTCTCGATTGGGGATATATAAGTCTATTCAATTTTTTGTTGAACGCAATCGTTGCCGTTGCTGGATTATAATCGTGTTCGCTACTTCGAATAGTTAGTTTCTGTGATCGTTTAACGAGTCTCAATACCATGTACGAATGTTAAATTATTACTAGCTTACTAAATCTTCAGACAATGTCTCAATTAAATTTGGGTAATTTTTTTAATTTATATCACTTTGACATGTAAATAAAAATTATTCAATTACCACTAGACCTACTGCTGGAGAAGGAGGAACTGAATTTGTGTAGGGTTGAAGATCAATTAAAAATTGAATAATTGAGGCTGGACCGGGCAGTCCCCCCTTCCCTCATCTTTGTCATATTACAGGAAACATTGCCTGTGTATATCAGTTAGGACGGACTATATAGCTAATACCTGGACCTTCAGCTCTGTGAGACATAAGCGTCCATAAATTTCACACGTTCAATAGATTTCTGTTATCTACAGGTACAAGTAAGAACCGCTATATTCCCTTGTTAGTTTTCATAAGTTTTTGCCTGAGAGAATATTGTGTTGTCTTGTACAATCCGAGTTATAATAGCCTAGATTTCTGTAGTTCCTGAAATGTATTGCTTTAACACAATAAATATTGATAAAGCCCGTCTGTATAATACCATGGTATTCAAGCCAGTAGAATAACAGAATAGCTGTTTTGTATTGAACTGTTTATAGCAACTGCGTCAACAAACATGGTTGGATATTGTGAAATTATTTGACCAAAGTGAATATAACCTAGTTTTAGGGTGTAGCAAAGGCAAATTTCTCTTAATTTAAATACAAAAGGTACGAATTGTAATATTTCGCGTGCAGATTTCAAATACATTATAGTATAATATGAACGGTACATTAGGACGGCTGGCGTACAATTATTTGTATAGTGGTAACAGATAACTGAATTCTTTATTGTAATACAAAACTAAGTCATGATCATCAGTCAAGACATAGTATAAGCTTATTATTTGATATGGCATTGCGCAACATAGGTATAAATGTATTGCAATCATCATTGTCGGATTAGGGTGACAGTGTGTAAACTGTAATGAAACGCATTAGCTCCACTTCGTGGTATAAAAATGATTGTGAAATACTGGTTTTGATTTTACTTTTCAGCATTTACGGTCGCCACTGAAACGTTGATGGTATAACCAGTGCCTTTGCAAAAGGATAGTTTTCAACCATTCTTTCTACAAATTTCAATCATGGGATGTGCAGCGTCTTCAAACTCGGGAGGTACAGTTATTAATTCCAATCCTGCAGCCTCCGCACCCCCTTACTATGGACCTAAAGTTGAGTACAGATTTGTGAACACAGAAGTGTCGATGACCGGAAAGATGTTTGCTCTTAAACAAGGAGATCAGTTGACATCTTCGGATATGGATTCCTTCTACCCATTGCTTTCAGCACCAATGGCAGAGGGCTTCCACATGGTGTGTTACAGAAACGTACCAGGCCAAGTCCAGACTCAAATGATGTCTACTACAGTCAAATTACCGTACCAGGTATTAAGAATGTCTTAAGCATTTCTTTATTTTCTCATACAATTTGTAATTGCAAGGATCATATACTGTTTCTTGGCTTGTCATACACAAGCTTTATCTTCAGCAGCCAATAAGATTATTACTGGTATGAGTAAGAAAAGCCTCTCATTTGTAACATAATCTATGGAAATATTGAATCTGACAATCTTTGAGCGTAATGATATTGGAAATATTCGGCTTGAAAATAGTTGAGTGTAGTGACATTGGAAATATTCGGCCTTACAATGACTGAGAGTAGAGACAATAGAAATATTCGGCCCGATAATGACTGGGTGGGGTGGCCTTGGAAATATTGGACCTGACAATATGTGAGTGTGGTGACATTGACATATTGGACTTGACAATAACTGAGTGTAATAACATTGGAATAAGTGGACCTTACAACGTCTGAAAGAAGTGGCAATGGAAATATTTGACCTGACAATAACTTGGTGTAATGACATTGGAAATATTGGACTTAACGATAACATAGTGTAGTTACCATTCGAAATATTGAACTTGACGGTGACATAGTGTAGTGACCATTGGAAATATTGGATTTGACGATGACGTAGTGTAGTGACCATTGGAAATATTGGATTTGACAATAACACAGTGTAGTGACCATTGGAAATATTGAACTTGACGATAACATAGTGTAGTGACCATTGGAAATATATCGGACTTGACAATAACACAGTGTAGTGACCATATGAAATATTGGACTTGACGGTGACTTAGTGTAGGGTTCGCTGGAAATATTGGACTTTACGATGACACAGTGTAGTGGCCATTGGAAATATTGGATTTGACAATAACACAGTGTAGTGACCATTGGAAATATTGGATTTGACGATGACGTAGTGTAGTGACCATTGGAAATATTGGATTTGACAATAACATAGTGTAGTGGCCATTGGAAATATTGAACTTGACGATAACATAGTGTAGTGACCATTGGAAATATTGGACTTAACGATAACACAGTGTAGTGACCATTTGAAATATTGGACTTGATGGTGACTTAGTGTAGGGTTCGCAGGAAATATTGGACTTGATCACGGTGACATAGTGTAGTGTTCGTAGGAAATATTGGACTTGACGATGACATAGTGTAGGGTTCGCTGGAAATATTGGATTTGACGGTGACTTATTGTGGTTTTCGCAGGAAATATTGTCCTTAACGATGACATAGTGTAGGGTTCGCTGGAAATATTGAACTTGACGGTGACGTAGTGTAGAGTTCGCTGGAAATATTGGACTTTACCATGACTGAGTGTGGTAACATTGAAATTTTCAGCCAGTCTATGACTAAATAAAAAGGAACACTGAAATGAAAATGTTCAGCCTGACAATAACAATAGAAAACACTTCGCGGAGAGGTGTTATATAGGCTAGCCTGTTCTCCAATCCATTTTCTTAACGAAATAAAATATTGTTTACAAAAAAAAAAAACAATAGAAATTTTCAACGAACAAATGGCCGTACGGGTATGTAATATAACTATGATGCCATTTTTAATTTCAGGCTATTTATATGAAGAAGGAAAGCGAGCCAGAGAACACATATACACTGCTTATAGAGAGATCCAGTATTCAACCAACACAGATAAGGCATGGTTTGATACCTTTATTTGGCAATACCTCAACCGAGGTGAACACTGAAACTAACCATCTCCTATCATCAATTATGACACACAGTCAAAATGGTGGTCGGTTTGTCACTCTGTGTGCTAGTGGAAACTCTGTGTCTTCTGGATATATGAATCAAATGTCTGGAAAATCTCCTGGTAAGCACCTACCTCTCTATATCCTCTATTCCACTTACTCAAAGAAATTTCCAATGAGCCAAAATCCCACAGTTCATAATGTAACTCAAATGATTTGTATTTTTACAAAATAATTTTTTGAATTGAATAACTACAAGCATGTATAATGTGCATCCCATCTTATCCTCAAGTATATCTGTATACTCTATCATCATTTTTTCAATTTTCTCTTTCAGTTTCTGGAGTTGATTTATTTTTTGAGATACCAAATATGTCGAGAGGAAAATTTGTATACCAAACTATACCAGTACCTGTACAAATCTCTATGAAAATACAAGGTTTAGGCAACCCTCAAACTATTGTCAACTGTGACTGGCTTGGAAATTTCCATGGTCCCCTTTCTCAAGGCTGGAAAATGGTGAACATCTTTTTTGATATGTCATCTAGTATGAACATGCAGCAAGGGTTAATGAGTATGCAAGCAGGCATCAACTTGAATACTATTTGGTTCTTTGAAAAACCGGAAGATCAAATGAATGACAATACTCAAAAATACGAAGGTACAATGGTAGAATTTATTTATGACGTAGGTCGATCAGGCTTGTTTAACATCAAATCTAACTTGGCCTGGGAGGGTAAGATAACTGAAATGGGTCAACAAGGCTGGGAATTGGTTTGTATTATAGACTATCCAGGACTTGTTGGAGGTGGTGGTGCCTTCAGTAAACCAACCTTGAAACTGTTAATGTTTTTTCAAAGAGAACTTCAACATTAACAGCTTAATATCCAGGCCCTGTTTCTCGAAAAAATCGTACAATCAATTTTTGTCGTAAGAGTGGTATCTCTTAATGTAATGGCAATTTTTCATCCTTAGACTTTTTGAGATAAAACGGGTCGGTTCTCTCAACCTAGCTGCTGTTGACATGTTATTTCTGAATATTGATTTTGCAATACTATTTCACCAAAGCTGTATTCGTTATTATGTTATATTTTATTTTTATTAAAATTTATTGTTATCATTATTCGAGTTATTTATAGTCAAAACAAATAATATGATACATGTACTTATAATTATTGTAGTCAAAACAAACACATAAATTACTTAATTACACTTAAATTACAAAATATTTGCAATCTTATGTCAAAAAATTAAAAATTTTCCTTCCTTCATCTCTACAGATCTCTTTTAGCTCCATAAGTTTTATTCTCATGTATAGAACCAGACACATGTTTCCAATGTTCCATGTTACTCTTTCCAATCTATCCCAGTATAAATTCTCATTAGTCATTAAAAAATCTAATATTTGATCCAATCACCAGTCATTTAAATATTTCTATGTGCAAGGTAACATATTAAGTTCTGTCAAATCACTTTGCAACATTCTAAAAAATATACCGGTATCACAAATTGCAAGAAACTCTCAATCATTTACATTCATCATTTGAAAGTCTGTATGAAGTCTCGCAGCAATAGATCTGCAGCAAATCCAGGAGTTACTGCACCTTTCATAACAAGATTTTCTAACATTGGTAGCTTATCTTCAACTTTATGGTTTTCACAGAAAACATCTAATATATTATCTTTAATATGGTTCCACATCCAAATTTTTAATTGTTTTTGTCTACGTGTGGTGAATTCAGTAGATTCAACCATTACTTTACGATATTCACTCAATGTATCCCACAATTCTGGAATGCCATCTTTAGTAAAGGAGGAAATCCTAGTCACCTGAAATACAAAACCAATAACTATAACAATAGAATTTAATTCTGTTATTTGGGATTTTCAGTTTGCATTTTGCAGTTCAGATTTATTTTTTTATTCAAAGAGCAGTGCAAAACATTCAAAACTCAAAAGAGGTTCTAACCTCATCATAAGAAAAAGTTAGTGATAGTTATGTGATAATAAAGGAAAGGATTGGAAGTCTAGCAACATACAAACATACTATGAACATTTGAAACAAGGTATGTTTCTGTATTTCTAGAACAATTTTGAACCAGATTCCAGGATTCTAAAACAAGATTATTTTGGTCCATTTTTATAAAAGTGTAAAACTTTGCATTATACTAAGGGAATCATGTTTCATACAAATAACTCTTTAACTTTTGTCATTTCATAAATATATTAATATAAGAAATAAACAATACTTGGAACACTTGCAATAAAATCATTTATACCTTGGGTTTCCAAACTTTGGATCTTTTTCTCATGAATTTTAAAGCACTGATATATTCTGTTTGTATTCTTCTGGCAGCTGGTATTAAATCACCATCACTCTTATTAACGATTACTATATCAGCTACTTCTACTATACCCTTCTTTATTCCTACAAATATAAATAAATAGCACTTAAACAGGTGTTTTTTCATCTTCTGAAAGACTTGAGGTTGTTCATAAGATGTTTTATATAATATTGTTATACCTTGACCTAAAATTGTCAAAAAATTGCTGAAATATTTTTGACATCCAATATTTTGACAACTTTAAGAACAGAGTGTCACAAGTATCGAATTTACCTTGAAGTTCGTCGCCTCCTGCTGGGGGTATTAATAAACAAAATATATCTACCATATCAGCTACAGCAAACTCAGATTGACCTACACCTGTAATAATACATTAACAATAACCATATTGTCACATCAAATCAAAATAACAAACATTGATCAGGAATAGAGTTGCTTAAAAAATCTGACAATTGTAAATATCAATATCAAGTGTAACATCAGAATTGTTGCTTTTACTGTACGTACCAGCCATGTCTGATGGGAACTCTAGATTCCCTGACTTTTACTTTGATCTATGGTGGCAATTCTTTTTAATGGCTTTAGTGACTTAGTTAGGGTTAAGTAGGGAGGGCTATATGTTTTTTTATGCACATTTTTGTGCAGGGCGCTACGAAAAGCGACGGCCATTCATTTCACTGGTTTTTTCAAATTGTGTTACATCTTCATAACGAAGAAAAAAAAACTTGCAGCTTTGTGACAAAAATATATGATTGTGTTTTTGGCATTTAAGAATTTATAATTTTTCGTATATGATGATAGTATACTGATACTAGTAATTGTATAATATAACACTTACCAACTGTTTCTACAATAACAACATCAAATCCAGTACCTTCACATAATACTATAGCTTCATTGGTAGTTCTAGTTACACCACCTAGAGTACCACAAGATGGCGAGGGTCGTATATACGCATTATCATCACACGACAGTTCTGGCATCCTAGTTTTATCTCCTAACAATGAACCTATAGAAATAACCATAAAAGAGTTTATAGCTTTTTAAGCCCTGGAAAAAGGATACCAACTCAATCACAGAATGGCATCATGTATATTTCATAATGAGAAAATATGAGCCTTGACCTTAATTTATGGAGAATTCCTAGCACTTTCTTAAAAAAGAGTTGAGGGTCTTTGCACTTCAGAATATTCTCTTATCACTGCCAGTCAGTGAGTTTACTTTGCTCCTACACCTCAAGTCAAATTAGGGAAAGCTACCCTCATTTCTATTAAAGCTGTGCTGATGAGGATTGCTTACTCAATACACATAAGATGAGCTCTACTCAATTAAACTGAGTGTGATATATAATCTTCCGAATTTGAAAACTAACATTTACCCTACCTCCAGTAGTAGATGAAGAAGGATCAACAGCTAACACAGCTACTTTATGATTTTTACTAGTCAAATATTTACCAAATGCTTCAATAAATGTACTTTTACCAGCCCCTGGTGGACCTGATAAACCTGAAAAAACAATTTGATTTATTTCAAATTTATTACTTTATCTTTAAGGGATTGTAAAGATGTTTTCTGAAAGAAAATTAAGTGTATCAGGGACACTGATAGCATTCTACTAAAACTAAGTGTTTGATGATGTCTTTAATCACAAAGGTTCTCATTTGATAAAGCGTATTTTGCGGTGCAAATTCATGCTATCAGTGTGGCCGATTCACATGAATTTTAGAAAAACCCTTTTACAATCCCTTTAATACCAATTTTTAGATTGCAAACTGCAAAACAGAAGAATTTTTCAAATATTACATTCCATATATGATCCATGATATATTTTTGCAAAATCTGCTGTTACAGATACATTTTGTAATAATACCAAACCAAGTTGATATCAATTACCTATTCTAAATGTTGTCTGTTTGGATAAGGAATGAGTATTTTCAGCTATATTATCATGCAGTATCTTCATCAATAATAACTGTGCTTGTTTTTTTTTCTTTTTATGTGAAGTTTCAACAAGAGTTATTGCCCTTGCTAAACTAGAGCGTTGACCATTCCTTAATCCATTGTATAAATTAATCACAGTCTCATCTTCTTTTCCAAGATAATTTTCCACATTTATATAGTCCTTAGCTACATTTGGGTGTTGTAACTTCTTTTTAGATACCGGTACTGAAACATCTAATGAAGTTGTTAGATGACTAAGTTTCTGTCTGTTTGTCTCTAAATAATTCTTGGATAGTTTTAATCTAGATCTACCACATAAATCACATGCCGACCGTAAAAGTCGTCCATTTATTCTACTCATGATTATCATCTAAGCCATAGAAATTTTAGGTTTTACACATGATATAAACACTTGATATACAAACACTACTTTATGATTTTTACTGGTCAAATGTTTATCAAATGCTTCAATAAATGTACTTTTACCAGACCTGAAAAATATGAAAAAACAGTTTGATTTATTTCAAATTTATTATGCTCAAGTTTACTTTGAAATTTTTTTTTAAATTGATTATTATTTAAGATGTCCAACTTCAGTAGGGAGGCAGGTTGAATTATATAGGTCACTCAGTTTCTAAAGATCTGAGTGACATGTTTTTCAAATTTCCGTTTTAATATTTTTAATATTGAAGCTTATATAATTAATTTTTCCAAATTAAATGTTTTTCATTTGCTGACATTTCTTCAATCAAAACCAAAGACTAAGTAAGACTAAGAAACATAGTTACTTTTTTATTCTAACAAAATATGATTATTTTGATATATCCAACCTTCACTTTGAAAAGACCTTGACCTTGGAGTCAGACCACAACAATTTTTCTGAATGTATTTCCGGTTTCATGGAATGATTTGACAATGATTCGAAGAAATTTCTTTATTATCGTTTAGAATACACTGTTGCATTGTATACATTTTATGATTGATAATAATAAATCGCTTGATCTCGTCGAAAGATTTAATTGCTAGTCATCTGAAGGAAATCAACAAATATAAGAGAAAAACTAAGTAAATAAGCAATAAACGACGTAGTCCGAAGCTCAATGACTTTTATGCATACATGCCCTTTAGTCCGAAAATTAAAGTTTGAGGTGCCTTGAAATGAATCTTGGTACTTTTTATCTGGCTCTTGATATTTTAAACAAATTAGGGTTGTAGTAGGGTTGATTTGAAATATAAGTAATTTGTATGGTGGTCAAGAAGCCATCATACTTTCATAGTGCTATCACAACTCAGAGACTGAAGAATAGTTTTGGATCAAAAGGTAATAGTAGTAGTATCCATGTACACTTCTTCACTGTGTGGGGAAAAAAATGTCAGTGGCAGTACTTTGAAAGTTTAGTGCAATGTAAACTCTGAACTCTATTTTACATGCATTTGGCTGCAATATCCAATTTTGAGAAAGACATTTTCTTCTAAAAGTAAAAGTAAGTGTATTTGAAAGCAAGTAATTTTACACTCTGACAAGAGATTCAATGAGTATCTTAACTACATCTATGGCTTACCAATCGTCTTACTTTCTAAAACACAACTTTATTCATAAAAATTTGACATTAATCTTTCTCTTGAAGTCTACATTCTATAGACAAATCAATCCAACAAAGTTAAAAGTAGGCCTACATGTATCATCTATATATTCCAGAGTCAAGATGATGTTTCCGTTAAGCCAAAGAAGAGTCCAATGTTTATTTATAAACAAAATATTGTATTCAAGCCATCAGTCAATATCGACTAACACAGTTCTTAGAACACTGTCAATATCTTGTAAAGGTAATATTATTGTTAGATTAATTAGCAAAGTAAAACGTTTTTTGAATGTTTTCCATTATTCTTGGAAGTGGAATAGCAGGCTCAAAATAGTACTGTTTGAATGCTTGAGCACATATTATGTCTTCAAAATTTGTTTTTACAGAGGACAAATTGCAGCCAAAATTTGTGACTTTTTTTAGTAGATATTTATGAAAAATGTGTTTCTTTTCAATTTAAACTGACAAAAAAAATTTTCTAACAGTAATATTTTAAGGTTGATATTCCAATTTTCTTCCAATTCTCTTAAACAAAATAGAAAAATTCAAAAACATTTATGCTTCGCTTTCTCTTTTATTTAAAAATTATAAAACACATTGGTTTTTTAAGAATTTGGCACGAATGAACAAAATCTTACACAAATTTACCTGCACACGGAAGCTATAGCCTTAATGAAAAGTGCACGGATGAATTCTCCCTGAGCTGATGGCTCCTGTTTGCTCTTGGCTTAAATAACATGTTAATTTTCTCTGACCTATAGTTTGTTTCTGTATTTTACAGGTTGTCAAGCTACCAGACTATTTCAACCTAGATATAGAAATAAATCAAAACAATTATTTTTATTCCCTATACACCATGTTAGAGTAATAAGCTCAGATTCACAAAATAGTCAGAATGTAAAATCTACAGACGTTCAAGGTAACATTTTATTTTATATTGAAATCAATTAAGCCACATAAGCTAAGTGAATTCAGAGGTTTGCTCTTAAATCTACAGATTTGAACAGTATTGAACAACAAAAGCCCCTTTTTCTGGGAACAGTAGGAAAAAGAAATAGTTTAGGGTTGTCAGCAATCATCTATTTTACAAGAGTATGAGTTCATTGTGTTATATAATTTATTTTTTTCTGTAGATAAGGGTAAAGTGAAAAGTAAAGATGTATTAAAGAATGATTATTATTATTTCAAAGATAATATTTATATTGAACCATTTAATGCAATGCAGAAGTACTTACTTACACAGAAGTAAGTACATTTTCATTATGTATAGAAATCAGAGAAGGCATGGCAATTCTTCAATATATATCAAACGAAATAAAGTGCAAGAATTAGTTTAAAAATCACTGGAATAAAGATTATAAAGATTAGATTAATGCATCAAAATGTTTATTAGAGGCTAGGTATATGATAAATATTAATTTGGTTGTCTGATTTATTGTAGGGAAATAGAAAGTCTACCATGTTTTAAAAGTAGAAGTCCATACCATCTGGGTGAAAACTTTGAACTATTTTTACGTAGTGATGTTGAATATATGTAAGTCAGTTAAATATCATCTATTGAAACATTATCTACATATCCCATGTTATAATATTTCTATTATTATAGTATAGGATTGAACAGGACTCTGGATTGGCTCGTATTTTTTTAGAGCTCTGAAATACCTGGCCATTGTTTTAAAATTATTTCCAATCAAAAAAGTCACTTTTTAAAGATTTTTCACAAATTATTGTCTAAAATTCTTCACTGATGATAATTAACAATTATGCCTAGATGTAAAAAGTTTTAACCTCACTCCTAGAATTATTAAAATTTTAATCTTTGATAAACATGTCTATCTCATCCCTTTAGAGACTTAGGAGATTACCTACATTAATGTTAAAGAGTCTTATTTCCCTTTCTTTGTGTTGTAGAGCTATCAAGAAATGGGGAAGTTTAAAAGCTATTGAGAAAGAGAAGATGAAAAGATTAGAACCATATCCATTCCATTGTGAGTTCTGGAAACATGTTGTCAATTATATAATACATGATGTATGTCTTTTTCTAAAAATCAAAGAAGCCAAAATGACATATTTTATCAGGATAAAACTGGGGTTTACCCGTAATCCTGTCTACTAGCTGTAATTCCAAATTTACCACCAGTTTGGCATCACAAGAATACTTTTTGACTTTTTGACTTTTACACGTTTTTAGATTTTAGCATGCCAAATCAAATTAATAAAGGTGACAACGAGTCCTAAAGTAGCTGTTATGTGCCCAAACCACCTGAATTAACTATCCCATTCTAGGACTTTGAAAGAAATGTATTTATGGATGATTTGGTTCTTTTGATAGTTTTTAAGCTTGGTAGAAAACAAGAAGGTACTGTAGACCCAAAGATGTATAAATTTAATCCTAGGAAAGCTCCGAAACTAGAGGTAAATCTTTTACTAATAACTATAACATTGGTGTGAAAAAGAAAAAGAATATTAACATCTTTTTTTTTTTTTTTTTATTAGGAAGGAACAGGATATGATGTTACACTTAATGTTATTTGAATAGATGATTAATAAAACTCTTGGAAAATATTTCTTGATCAATTACTCCATTGAACTCAAAATAAGTGTTATTCTATGTGATATCTTGACTTGAAAGAACTCATGGGTTGGTTGACATTGTTTTATCTTTCTTCATAATTAATTCGATTATTCATATTCATTATTTTACAGAAAGATAATAAAATAGGACCAATGAATGTAGTTTTATCAGCTCTTGGAGTGTAAGTATTTTTTAAATTAAAATGTTCAAGCCCTTCTATCCATGGGAGATAAATCTATAAATATAGAGGAAAGCATATAATCATATGCATAATTATAATCAGTTTAGCTTTCTTCGTGGTATTTCTACAAAAAAGCAATGACTGGTAAATGGCTGTACGAGGAACTGTTAAAAAGGAGGAACTCACTGAAAAACCACCTAGTTTCTCAAATCAAACAATTAAATGAGGCTTTTTATGCTGTAGGTTATTTTATGACAATATCAAAGTGCAAACTAAATCTTCATTACCAGAGTTTCTTCATTGTTGTTCATTGCTACCAACCTTCAATCAACTAAACTGCAGAAAAGTAGGATATAAACTTCTCTTTAATTTCCTTTACAGAAATGCTTTACTATCAGTACTGAAATTCTGGGCTGCAAGTTATACAGGATCAGCTAGTATGTACGCAGAATTTCTCCATTCTTTAGCTGATACTGTCAATCAGGTTAGTACTTACACACTTATCATTTAGGTAGGATAAGTAATAATCAACACAATGTAACTTTAAGAACAAAGGAAGAGAAACATTCCTTTAGTCCACCCTTGCTTACCATGTTCACAAGGTTTTGACGTTACCAAAAATTATCCTTCTGAAGAATTTAAGCCAAAATACAAATTCACCTCTGACACTATTTGAGGATATCCAGCCCACCTTACACCTGAAATTTTGCACAAATTATGAAGCAAAGACATGGATAGTTTTAATTTTGTTCAAATTCTAAATTACTAGAATTAAAGTGTTATCTCAGCTATTTTAGATATTGATTGAAGGCTGATTCATGAAACTTGGATAGAAAACTCACAATGTGTCTTCATTAAAACACTCACTCCTTTGTTTTGATATTGTAGCTTGTATTAGCTTATGTAACTTATTTATCTTCAAGAGAAGCAGATTTAAATTATCCGTAAGTTTAAACTTTGTTACCTGTATTTCTTATCAAATTGTTTTGCAACACTGCAATAAAGAAATTATTGCCAATCAAGTGACATAAAGTCATTGGACTACACAAGGAATAAGCTTCTTACAGTACATGTAATGACTGTACAAAATACATGTTACTTGTATGAATTTATTATAGGTATGGTTATATGAAGCGTCGTAATATATTTGCATTATTGTGTGGTGTTTCATCGTTTGGTTTGGGGTCTATATTATCAATATGGCATGGCGTTGAAATGATAACAAGTTTAGATTCAATGAATTTACAGAACACATCAGTGGTGAGTGATTATTTGTCCCTAGATTTGTCCAGTGAATTTCATCTCCATCACTTTCGGACATAAAAACCCCAAACCTATCATTGAACATAAAAGATATGACCTGTTGTAACAAGAGAAGTTTATAGCTATCTGAATTCTGCAGACCGTTATTATTATCTGGATGGCCGATTTGATATCTTTTTGCAGTGATGTCACTCAATAAGATTACAATAACATGACTATACTAGGTTATTTATGTAGAAATTACAAGAAACCTACTAAAATCTAAAAAGTCAACAAATCTTTTGGTGCAGAAGTGAATTTATTACTTGGTATATGGTTTTTGTTAACCTAAAATAACCTGAAAAATAACTGAAATATCATGTGTTATATTGTAGGGTATGGGTGTGATTGGTATATCATTAGCTCTAGAGTTATGTAAGTATCAACTCTGATATATCAACTTGACTCTTACCAAAGTCTTCTATTGGTTATTTTAATAGAGAGAGCAGCATTAACTGATCTATTTCTATATCCTTAGAATCTTTGTCATGCAATGTAGGTCCTATGTATCACTTACTTGTTACTATAGATTATTTTATTTTCAGATTCTTTCAGTAGAGCCTACAAGAGAATAGAAACAGAATCTAAAGCAATGGGTCTTTCTTTCAAAAGATATTGTAAGCATATATATATAATTCTGTTTGAGTAGGACAAGGATATCATAATTCATTTAAACAATCATTAAAATTAGTATCATTTAAAGATGGTACTGATGTAATTATCATAATGATATATTGTATTGAAGTCAAAGTTACAATTTATTTGTTGTCATCACTTCTTACTTTTTATATGCCCACATGAAATGGGCGTATATTACCTTGCCTGGCAAGCTATCTTTAAACAAGTTGTTGATTTGACATACTTTCTTTCTGTTTATTATGTTAATATAATTCATTATATATAGATTTGACCAATGCAAACAAAAAAGGAAGGAGTCTCGAAAAGCTTTTATATTTGTAAAATATAGATATTTCTCTCTGTCATTTCAGTATTTTCTGGCATTGATCCGTTTGTAACTCTGGTATTTTCTGAAGATCTGATTGCTGTAATAGGAGTCTCATTTGCTGGTGTTTGTATGGCACTGTCTAGTTCCTATGAAAGTTTATTAATTATGGATCCTATTGGTTCTATAGTAATAGGGTGTTTATTAGCAGGTGTTGCTATTACTAATAGTAAAATTAATGTGGATAGTATAGCTGAAAAGTAAGTCGCTGGACATAGAAATTTAACTCTCTCATCTGAAAAAACGTAATATTTAAAGAACATGTCCCTTTTACACATCACATTGGATTCTGAAAAATCGATGAATAACTTTCAACCTGATTAACTTTATTTGGGATGTAATACTACCTTTTTTTTTAAAATCAGCCTTTTTATACATTTACTACTAAACTCATATTTCTATTGACAGATCTATACCTCAGAATGAAATAGAAGTGTTAAAAGATTTATTAGAAAATGACAGAATGATAAAGTAAGATTGATTTACAGTCAGTGGTGATAACCCCCAACCCAAAATACTAACGATAGAAACTGCAAAACCAAACTGGAATATCCTAAATTACACTTTGGTAATACATTGGTAACAGCTATTGTATTATCTGTTCTGATGCCAATAAAGTCATTGAATATTTAGGAGACTAGGTTGGCTCAGTGGGTTACAAACTTCTCACTAAACCCGGATGCAGGCTTCGATCCCAGCATAAATCCTAATGATACTTATGGATTTTTCAAACCAGTTTCAGTGATGCAGGTTACAGGAGACTGTGCCAGTCATTTGGATGGGACCATACACTGAGCTGCTGTCAGTAGACATTTCATGGTGTTTCATGTTTTTGTAAATCCAATTTGGAGCAGAAACCTAGGACGTAAAACTTCATTTTATGTGAATAATTGTTTTACCAGTTCATAGAGTAAAAAACAACCATTGTGTAAAATATAATATTCTCCCTACAGATCTGTACATGATGTAAAAGCTATTGAATCAGGTGGTTTGATCAGGTTTAAAGCTGAGGTGAATTTTGATTTTAAAGAAATAACAAGAGATTATTTAAGAAGAGCTCATAATAAAGATGAAATGTTAAAGGTATTATACTAATACAATCTATAAATTTAATAATTTCTAAATTTGCCTCAGTGCACACTGCATGGCATTGCCCGTCTTCATTAGCCCAATTAGTTGCAGAAGAGAACACTCCTGTTCATTTCATTTGCAATTATTATTGGAATAGTATTGAAATTTCAATCTGGATATATACAGGATATGTATTGGGGTATTGATGAGTATGTAACATATACAGACTAATCGTTTTAGTGCTTTGTTTCAGATGTAAAGTCAGTGAATTATTGTTATATTGACAAATGATCTAAAAAAAAAAATATTGAGACCTATTCTGTATGAGTATTTTCAAGTACATTTTTTTTTAAACATGACTGTACCCAACTATGTAATCATAGATATTATATTGCTTTATTTTAGAAAACAATGGCTGACTAAATTCCATGTTATATATTTTTAGTATTTTTTAATTTGATGCTTGATTTTTATATTATAGAAAATGGTTACAGCTAAAACAGTTGAAGATGTAGAAAAGTTTATGTTATCTTATGGACCATTATTAGCTGAACAAATAGGTTTACAGACTGACAGAATAGAGACAAAACTCAAGGTTAGAAAATATACAGTACATTACATAGCTCCAATATTTGAAAACATATATTTTTAATTAAGCCTTCTTTTCGTAATCAGTTGCCCTAGTGATAGATGGAATACTTTAATATCACAGTAGCTCAGTAAGTAAGAAGCTAGGGTATAATCTGATTTGAGATAGATATTTTAAGACAGTAATGCCAATCAAACATTGAAAAAGCCTGACAGACTGGTTTGCTACAAAGCTATGCTCATGAAAGATGACAGATGAATATAGGACCGTTTCTGCTGCTAAAGCAAATTTGCCTGATAGAAAACTTCATAATTTTTTTTTTTCAGGCAAAGAATTCAAGAGTGAGACATATTGACTTAGAAGCTATATGAATGTGTTATTCTATTACATGTTATACTATTATAGAGTAATTACTGTATGTTTATTACATATAATAAGTTCAAAAGTTCATTTGATTTTTACACAAAACAACTTTGACAACAGTTTAAATACAATTCCATATATTCTATCATTCCTGGAATATATCAGTCTGTGCCAAGTGATTTACTTTCAATGTCTATTTCTTCATTTGTTCAAGGATTAGACTTCATTATTCAAGTGATTGTTAGGTCTTCTTATATTTTTGAAATTCATCAAATTTACTATGGTACTAACCCTGTGCTATGTTAAAAGTAGTGTTATTATGGTTCATTTCTATATTATAAGGATTGTGGTTCAGTACTATGGTAAAATCAACCTAGCACCATTAGGTTCAGTTCTATGTTATAAAGACTGTGGATTAGTGCCGTGTTATATTGATTTTGGTTCAGAATTATGTTCCAAAGATTGTGGTTCATTTCATTGTCTAATGCTAAGATATAAGAACAGTGGTTCAGTGCTATATTTTAAGAACAGTGGTTCAGAACTATGTTATAAGGATTGAGGTTCAGTGCTATGTTTAAATGATTGTGGTTAAGCGCTTTGTAAAAGGACTGTTACTCAGAGCTAAGTTATAAGGAATGTAGTTTAGTGCAATGTTTTAAGGATTGTGGTTCAGTGCTATGTTTTTTTAATTAAACAATAACTTATTCATATGTAATACTGGTAATGGGGAACAGGTGTCGCCTACTTAACATCTTTTCATATATTGTGTAGTAAGGACTCACTTTGTAGGGTTCAATGCTGTGTTACAAGTATTGCAATTTAGTCATTGCTGTATTTTGTCATTGTTGATGTATAACGCCAATTATACTAAGTCAATTTACAAATGGCAACAAATAAAACCTGCAAAAATATTTTCTGTTTGGTTTTGAATACTTTTTCTTCTCCGCAATGGATTATGGCAATTAACCATGAAGTATTTGCTTTGTAAAGCTTTGTTGCACAATATGTCTTATTGAGAGATAAAGGTGCTTTTGAATAAATCTACATGATTTTGTTGACTATTATGTAGAAGGGATTCTAAACTAATTTAAAACATTTTGTATCTTGCACATATGTGTAAGAAGTAAAATACCGATCTTACAAATCAGGACCTTGATGCAACTAGAAGCCTAATGGATATGAATGCCCCTCCCCCCTTTTTATGCGACGACGATATAAGAAATGTCTTTATAGGCCTACATGTATGTGTTAAGTCAGCTAGACCCCCTTTGCCCCATTTTAACTTAGATTGCCCGTCGGTTTTGGTTGGGTACAAAATGTTGTTCAGATTAAAATTACAGACATATCTCGTCCAATCCCCGACTGTAGAAAATAAATATTGAATGTTAACCTGTAATATTAGTTTAGTGTAATTAGAGTGCATATAAACATCAACTTACTGCACCAATTTATTTTCATTGACACCTTACTATTTACTTTGAACTTTAATTCACTTCCCCCTTGAACGAATTATTTGTGTAAACTGACTTTCCAAGGGTGTATGTTGAGAGAGTACTGTCAAACCCAAAATCAGAAACCTATTTATCTGATAAATATACATCTACGGCTTTGAGATTTGTTTTAGGAAATTTGGACAAATGCTTTCCAGTTCTCAAAATGGCGAAACACCACTGTCTTCAAGAGCCTAAACTTTAAACAAGCTCAGAATAGAAAGGAAATGACTGTCTATTGAAATCTATTAGTAAAAATGTGGAGATTAAAGTTAGTGACAGATGCAGATGTTGAAAATTGAAAAACACCAGCATCGTAGAAAGCCGTGGTGTGGTGGCTTTTCGCTTTTAAACCTAGTTTTCCCCTTAATTGTCTATTTCGGAAAAATGGTTTATTGTCATTTAAGTCACAGACAAAATGCCGTGTAAGCAATCAGAAACAAAACATGGTTATTGTAAATTTGACCTTTCAGCATGGCGTTCCCCGTCTTCATTAGGAAAAGTAGAATTGCAGGGAAGCTGCTGAGTTTATTTACAAACCCTTTTTAACATAACTTCCTTCACTGATGTTGCTTTAGCAAGAGGGGGTATGCCAGTCGGCCACTCGATATGTTAATGCGGAACTTGCATTCGATATAGCTATGATCCTGAGTCATGCTATACTATCGTTGACATATCTCAGAATCGGTGAATAATGTCACTACGAAAAACTTCATACTCATCATCTAATGAGTGCAGCTGTTTTTAAATTTTTTTTCTCTTATTTGACATCCAACTGTTAATCAAGTAACTGAATGTCAAAATGTCACATTATACAGTACCTTTAATTGAATGTATTTTCTGAGTTCCTGGTCTACTTTTCAACATATCATGCAAATGTTAAATTCGTCATTGCAAAGTAACACCAGATATATAAGATCCCAAGCTTCCACTATAAAATGACAGGGGTCCTCCCAATCTGTGTTTATTGGTTGGAGACGTTATAACAGCTAACATGGATATTTTGTTTGCCTCAGTTTTACTTGTACTTAGTGCTTCTACGGTATCAGGATGGGGAATTCCACAGCCACAGAGAACAATATTTCCTAACTTTCAACCAGACTTTCAACAACCACCAAATACTGATCCATGGGGAGTACCAAACAGAAACCCTGGCAGACAAACGTTTCCTGTACCACAACCAAATACTGATCCATGGTGGGTACAAGATACAAACCCTGGAAGACAAACATTTCCCCAACCACAACAGCCATCTATATTTCCACTCCAGCCGATACAATTTCCATTTGGAAATCCCGGTGGACAACAACCACAGCAACAGGGTGAGTTACAATTTTGTAAATTATGGCTTAATGGAGTATATTCTTCGTATGTGTTTGTTGCCTTACTTACCAACTCACAAATCTCAATTCCTGATATCCGTTTCGCTATTCAGGATAGAAATTCCCACTTGCTATTCGCCTGATTCACGTCTGGGAAGGCCAGAAAGAAGTGTTACAGGGAAGCTTCCAGGTTCAGAACTTATTACGCCCATATTTTTGTAGCAATACCACTAAATCCACATATTCGTTAACTTGAAAAGAACAACATCGAGCGAGAATTATAAGCAAGTAAAGCATCTGCAGATCGATTGGAATGTCATTTTGGGCATTGCTACAAAAGTAAAATCGCGAAAAGTTCAGAACCTCGTAGTTTCTCAAACACGGAGCATGTCCGCATTCATGAACATAAACCATGTCATCCCAAATCTCCAGTCTTTATATTATTAATCTAATTGATATTTTCGATCTTTTAAATTAAATAAATAAAAATGTTATATTTACAGGAAATCAATGTCAAATTTTGGCTTCTAGTGGTGACTGTAGATTTTACGACTGTTTTAATCAAGTTGAACAGCAATGTTTGTTTCAAGGCCAGTTTTTAGTCAATGATATGCAGTCGTTATGTCAAGGGGCTCAACGTCTTTCCGGAAGATTTTCTTTTCAGGTAAGTTCTGAGGAACTAGGCAGATGTTTTAATTGGTTATTTGGGTAGCAATTTGATTGAAATAAATGTATTTTATTTTTATACGCTCACATGAAATCGGGGGCGTATATTGACGTCACCCATGTCCGTTCACAGTTGCTCGACAACACTCTAGAAGGCACAATTTTTTTACTGATTTTGACGAAACTTGGTATGATTGTTTGTAGTCACCCAAGGATTAACACTATTGAAAATCAGAAAAATCAATAAATATTTAGTATGAGTTATTGCCCTTGTTCTTGTATTGCTCGTCAACACTCTAGGAGGCTCAATTCTTGACAGATTTAGACGAAACTTGGTGTGAGAGTTTGTAATCACAGAGGATGAATATTGAAAAGCAGAAAAATCTATAAATATTTAGTACGAGTTATTATCCTTGATCTTGAAAACTCGTTCAATTTTAGCTTGTAAACACTCTTAAAGGTTAAATTATTGGCGGATTTTGACGAAATTTGGTGCAAATGTTTGTTATCACCCAAGGATGAACCCTATCGAAATATCAGAAAATTGAAAAATATTTAGTATGAGTTATGGCCCTTGTTCATGAAGACACGTTCGATTTTTAGCCCGTAATTACACTCTAGAAGGCACAATTCGTGATAGATTTTTCAGAAAAATCAAAAAAATTCTTGACCTTGTTCTTGAAAACGTTTTCAATTTTTAGCTCATAAACACTAAAAGGCACGATTCTTCCCAGATTTTGACAAATCTTGGTAATATTATTCAATATCGCTTCAATATGTTCAAAAGAAGTGTATGACTGAAGGTTGAATATTTCATACTGGTAATTGTTACTGTACTGCCAAATATTTTTATTCAAAAGGCGTATACTAAGCTATCTAATAACCGCTTTTTGCTGTAACTTCACTCAATGGAGATCTGACATCATTCTTCTTTAAGAACTCATCTTGAAATATTGCTTGGACATTTTGGTTTGCAACGTCTGTTATTTGCCATATCCTCACATTTACTGAACAAAGCACTTGATTGGTTGTTCTAATTTGCTTGTCTGGGGAGTTCAGTAACCTAACACTCACAAAAACAAAACGAACATGCTAAAATTGTTTTTGTCGTTGTATCTAAATATATGATCATATATTTTGAGGCTACCTTTATGCTCCTTCCTCTAATAGATCACTTGAAGGTGTTCCCCAATCTTACTTTTGAATTTCAGGGACAGCAATATTTGCAAAAAGTTTCGAAGTGTGCTGCTAAACAAATGACAAGTGTGGTCAACAGTCAAAGTTGTAACGCCATTGATTTCCAAGCAGCCTCGACTTTATTCGGACAGTCGACTGGTGAAGATTGTTATTGGCAGAATCAGTTATTCTGTAATGTTGTATCTAACCCACAAGACAGTCAAGCTCTGGTTGCTATCCTATTTGGTGGTAATGCTCCATATAATCCTCAATTTATAAAGTAAGTCAATTATAGCCTATTGCTTTCATATCTATTTCTCGTTTACTGCCTTTCTGTCGGTCCACATTTCGCATTACAGCAATGGAAGTTACAGTTACTATTCTAATCGGATTTTATTGAAGCTATGTATTAACATTCCAAACGATGTTTATCGCCCGTAAAATATACAGTGATGGCTTAGAATTAAATTGGTGTGTGAGGAGAAGAGGTCCCAGTTCTTTAAGAGTTGAAATGTTTCGATGATCACTTCTCTTAACAAATGTGTATTTTCATTTTCATTTTCATTTCAGAGTCGCAGAACATTTACAAGTCATTGTCACGTCATGCTCACAGTCCGTTCAAAACACCTTCCAAAATAACTTCACTAACAGATGTCCTATTGGTACAGTAGGAAGACAAAACCAGCCCGTTGTCTTTCCCAATCAACCTATGATGATGGGTGGTGCAGGTGGTGATTAGAAACTGCTGTTCAGTAACAAATTTTATTCAAACAAATCAATAAAATCATCAATGATTAAAAAATACCGCTTAAACAAATTATGTTTAATACATGAGCTATGACAAAATATCAAATAAAGAGTTTTGTATGCGAACGTAACTGTTGATTTGAATTGAATTGACTGCAATAGCCATTATTCTTATCACGGAAGTCTGTAAAGACAGCGATTTGACTGGGTGGTACGCTAGCGAATACAGCCAATCAGAGTCCTAGACAGAAAGTCTTTAAACAATGAGGAAACAGTCTTTCTGTCGAGTTGTAAGATAAGCTGTATTCGTTGGCGTACAATCCAATCAAATCGCTGCATTCCGTGATAAAGAAAAGGGGGCTACGGTATACGTTTGCAATACCTTGACCACTGTGAAGATGTTGAATGGTAAGCGTGTCCAATTCGGGAACTGCAATGCTCTCAGTATTGCCTAAATCGTATATGATTATAATTCATCTTTGGTAGATATTATTTCAATAACCAAACCTTGATCTGATTTTAATATTATTTGAGATAAATCAATAATTATATTCTGTTTATAAAATGGTTTATTATTCAAATTACCAGTATGAGCTATTACTTTACCCTCCCTACCCTGGATATAGCTCGTATAATCATCAACTGATTTGGATTTACCAAAATTGATAGTCACTAAATATTGTGGCTGGCCTTCTGTTTGTCTGACATAAGAAAATATATTATCATTAACAACTGCATAATTTAGATCACCATATTGAAAAGATGGTTCTTGACGTAAACGAGCTAGCTGACTGTAGAGTTGAATTGGACTGTGATCTGATTCCATCTGAGTCTGCAAAGAAAATGTTCACCATTTGCACAATTGTTAAAAGATAAACGTCTTTTTTACACTTTTCCTGTAAATATTCAATATGATAATTTTGAAAACTGCTACACACTGTTAAAGCTTGATGAGAATAAAATGATTGTAGCATTGACCCTACCTCGAATTTGAGTCACTTATAATATTGTCACACACCAAAGTGCTTTTGCTCTGAATGATTTACTTCGTGAAATCCCAGATCGTATGTCAACGAATAATCTAAGCTTAGATTACCTGAATATTGAGTGTTTTATAATTGGGGTGAACTGGTAACCATGGTTTCTTTGCTGTAGTAAAACCACTATGATATCCGTCATTCCATTGTAGAGGAGAGCGACATGGATCTCGAGATACCTCGGTATATCTCTCCTGTAAGAAATTATAGGAAATGGAGCTGTACATTTCCTGAAAGCGAGACCGAAATGAAGATTGGAGTTCAAAATTGAATTAAATTCAGTTCTATTGGTGGATTCTTTTGTTTTGCAGTCGTATTTATGACATGATTTATTTTAAGAGAGCTTGATATCAATAATTATCCTGAAATGATCTGACTAATTCATTCAACCAACCTTTCCAAATCTCAAACCGAAAGGATCCTGAGTATCTTCAAAAGAGACATGTATTTCTTCCATGCCAATTTCTTCACCATAGTAGGTTGTTGGTGTTCCTTTCAATGTTAACAGTAACATGTTGAAAGCGTTGGCCGCTTCAGGGTTTCTTCTCACTGAAATACGTGGTCTGTCATGGTTCCCGAACTGAAGAAAAATAATAACACATGCGAAGCGTGTTATCATTATACATGTTCATTGTTCAGTATCCTGTCAAATATTGGTGGATGTGACTATACCTAAAACTTGAAGGCTTCCGTAAAGGGACGTAATCCAAAGAATATACGACTGCCAAAAATAATTAATTACATTACCAATCTATCATCGTCTCCGAAATATTACACATTCCACGTATCAGGGATCAGATAATAATATTCTTTCGCAATTCATACGATTCTTTAACACAACAAAAGGCAACTGCCATATAAGATATTATGTTTTGATTGGTCAAAATTTACCGTCTCCTACGCAATTACTGTGACAAAGTGTACGGCGCAATTTTCAAAACGGCGACGTCGTATATATGCTAATGTAACATTAAAAAGTGTACCTGAAAGTTCGGCCAGGAGTCTGAAGAAACCACAGTATATTCAGTATCAACCAGATCCTTAATACAAACCCCACCACAATCTCTGGTTATACCAATAGGGGTTATCAGATCAAAATTAAAGGCGAAATCAGCTCCGTATTCAACAAAAGCCTGTCGTTTTTCTGGAGTTTCGTAAGCTTCTATAACCATGAACCTCGTCTTTCCATCCTTTTGTGTGTATTCCTTGGTAATGGTTTTCCATCCAGTGATAATTTGTTTTATTTCTGGTAGGTGAGATGTGTAGATATGATCAAGGCTTTCATGTTGAAACTGTGATAGAATTTACAAAAAAAAGGTAAGAAGTAGATTTTGTAAAAGGAGCAACAATCAATACATGTTTTAGTGGAGCTCAAATTCATTTTGGTATTTTGTCCACCGGAAGAAACGTGGACTCCATTACAATAAATACCCCTCAAAAAGCATATTTTGGATAATATTGGAACTTACAGAGGTAAAATTGGCAGCGTTGGATTTTGGTTCATTGTTCGACAAATCTTCCGACTCTAAAAGATATAATACAGCATCGCATCTTACACCATCAACTCCACGATTCATCCAAAACCGTAAGACATTCTGTAATAATTTGTAACAAAATATCGAAATTTCTGGGTAAACACTTGCATTGGAATTAATTTTCATATGATTTTTATGGAACGTATATTAAGTCCATTTTCTTTTGTAGGCATGAGTTCAAAGCGCAGTAGTACTAGTAGTTGCGTGGGTAGCCATATTGCTTACAGTTGCTCAATCGAGCGCTATGGTTGGATATATTCGCTAGTGTACTGACCAATCATATCGAAGCATTTACATAATTGTGATATAAGAAAATCGGCTGATGATGTCGTCAAGGTATACTTTCTAACAGCATGGCATTATGAAGATCTTCTTGTGTTGACTCAAGGTCGAAATAAATCATGTGACAGACATCGACGACAGTTCTATTATTTCAGTCAATCATCGTTAACATAAATCTACAGAACGAGCCAAAGTGCTGCAATCGTTTATAATCAATCAATAGCTATCAAAATACATCTAATGAAATGTCACCAAGATTTGATAGATTTTTGTCAAGGACTAGATTACCAATATCGATCAAAAGTGTGGGGTTACTTACATTTATCTCAAGAACCAGTTTACATAGTTAGATCCAAATTGTAAGATTGTTCGTAAGTTCTAAGGTTCTTGGTGATCAATTGATCTAAAGCACTTACTTTACTAGCACTTTAGATCAGTGTTGTAACTTTGACACCGGAGATCAATATTGTTACCAAAGCACTTTTGATCAATATTGTTACCCTAGCTCTTTTGATCATTATTGTTACCCTAGCACTTTTGTTCAATATTGTTACCCTACACTTTTGTTCAATATTGTTACCCTAGCACATTTGATCAATATTGTTAATCTAGCACTTTTAATCAATATTGTTACTCTAGCACTTTAGATCGATGTTGTTACCCTTGCACTTTTGATCGATATTGTTTATCTAGCACTTTAGATCAATATTATTGATAACCTAGCACTTTAAATCAATATTGAGATCCATGGACTTTAGATCGATATTATTGATAACGTAGCACTGTAGATCGATATTATTATCCTAGCACTTTACATCGATATAGGTAACCTTATATTTTAAATAAATATTGTCACTCTAGCATTTAAGATCGATATCATTGATCACTAACATTTTTAGGTCGGTGTTGGAAACCTAGCGTTTTAGATCGCTATTGTTTCGTTAGCACTTTAGATCGAAATTGTTAATCTTGCACTATGTAGATCATCGATATTATTGATAACCTAGATCTATGTTGAGATCAATATTAATAGCCTAGCACTGTAGATCGATATTGGTAACCTAGCATTTTAGATCGTTATTTGTAAAACTTTTGTATCACTTTATGTTCATATTGAAAACTTTATTTCGATGAAGACTAATTAGTACTTTAGTTTGATGTTTGGTAACTCATTACTAAAAGTAGGTTACTTATGTTGATCTAAGTTTCTAGGTTTAGGTTACAAATAAGGTATATAAGTCAGTTACGCTACCAATATCGATCTAAAGTTCTAGGTTACCAATATAATGATCAAAATACTCTGTTACCAACATCTGTTGTAATAGCCCTGTCACATAGGACTGCGACCATTTGCTATCTTACGGCGACTGGAAATTTACTCGGAAGCAGTCGAACGCGGGAAAACTAGAGAAAAATTCCCTAACAAATTACAATCTAAAAACAGTCGACTGCGAGTTATATGACAATATTGTGTTCTAAACGTTTTCAGAGTCTTTGTCATGCAAGTACTATACGCTTTTTGGTTTGATATTAGAATGAATTGACTTATTACTTTAATCTCTTCTATGACTTTTGGGTTTCTGTAATTCAAATCAGGCTGTTCTTCTAAGAAAGCATGGTAATAAAATTGCTGCCTGTCTTGGTTCCATTTCCATGCTGATCCTCCAAATAAACTCAACCAGTTATTAGGTGGAAGTCTTGTTCCATCAGGCCCTGGTTTACTTTCAGACCAAACATAAAAATCTGTGTATGGTTCTTGTTTTTTAATACTGGCTTGAAACCAGGGATGTAGATCACTGGTATGGTTGGGTACAAAATCAATTATCACTTTAATATCTAGTTTAATACAACGACATGGAAGAATATCAACATGTGAACAACATTAAATATAAATGTAGTTGAATAACAAAATCATTGGATGTTTGTAACAGTTTTTTTACAGTGTTGAAACCATTATAGGCTACTCATTTTGGAATACGATGTAAAGGAAAAGCGGTTTATATGTAAATACCAGAAAGAAATCTATTATTAATTGTTTTGAAATATATTCTAAAATTTTTTCTCTAAATCGGATACTTCTTCGATGTTTTCTCCTTCCTCAAACAAATCCCATTATAAATGCAAAGCTAATTCTCTTCAGAAAACACTATGGTACTTGCATCTTTTTTTTTTGCTACCCAAATCTCAATATAGATGGGCATTTCTCCCAGCGGAGAATTTCATCAAATTCTCAATGGGTTCAAATCCTATTCTCTAATCTTTGTTTGTGCAACCATGTGACTTATTGCGTTTTCAAAATATAAAAAGCGTCAACATATTTTATATCAGGCCGAAAAGTATATGGACGTTGAATATGGATGTTGATAATACTTTACCTCTTTTGTGGGCCTGATTAATTAAAACCGCAAAATCCTCTAAATCTCCAAACAGAGGATCTACATCAGTATGGTTAGAAATATCATAACCAAAGTCTTTATTAGGTGATTTATAGAAAGGACTTAACCAGATAGCCTGGACACCAAGATATACAAAATGATCCAATTTAGAGATGATTCCTGGAAATTAAACATCAAAAACTGAAAATACAGATCAAGATATTGCTTTTTTACAGAAAACAATTTTTCTTGTCATCTATGATCTGATGAACTTAATATGCAACATAATATGTTTCATCTCATTTTAATATTCAACCAATCCTATACTCTTTATAAAAAGACTAACCAATCACATGTGTAACACTTTTAACAGTATTTTTATTACGACGGCTTTGGATCCCACTTCAAATTATGGTTATCCATTACTGAGCAAATCAAGATCTACATTTTACTCTGATTGAATCAGACGTTAAGCAGCGAAGATGGGAACACTTGCAACCAAGAGCAAAGTAGTTCTCATTGGTATTCGAATAAACTTGAAAGCTGTAGAATAATTGGAGAGCGTCGTGATTCAATTTTTCTATGATATAAACTTAATTGGAGAATAACAATCGTCTTAACAATAGTCTGGTGTCCTTGAATAACCTATTCATACAGTTGAACCAGTTCAAACATTGCTGATAGGTTATCTGTGAGTGAGAAACGTCCTTGTAGAGAGCTGTAATGACCCATATGAAAATATGGGTCGTGAGAGATTTATCAAAAAATTATATAGCGTCATTGTGCGTCTTTTAGTTTATATTTTAAATTCAAGGACATGAATGTTCACGCCTCTGTAAGTTGTTGAGTCAGGGCTTTTGACCCAATACCTTTTAAGATAATGGGAAACACGTGTAGCCCAAGAGCTGAAAAGAAATTGAGATACACCGAATATAGGTCAGTATGGCAACTTTAAAATATTATGTAATAAAATTCAAGGTAACTATTTTTTTTTTAAATATTATGTAATAAAATTCAAAGTTACTATTTATTAATGGAAATTGCGTTGCACACTTTGTATGGCGCTGTATATGGTTCAAAATAGGATCCAGGTCTGATATTTTGAACCAAATACAGCGCCATAACCTCGAGCTATAACAAACCGGAAATCAGTATATAGGCCACATTCTTCATTTGTAGGTTTTAGAGACTACAGAACTGATTTACCGTTGACATAAGAGAATGCGTCGGTTTATTAATATATTCTTCACGATTATATCGTATTCACATTAAATAGAGATCCATCTTTAGCAAATATCTCAAATACCAGGTGGTATGCGAACATGCAATAAAAACATGACACACAAAACATCGTGGCCTACAAACGCAATAATTTATCTTAAGCTAAGCGCATGAGTTATCAGAATACATGCAGTTATATAACGCTTAAAGAGAGTGTGTGGCCAGTCTACCTGTGGTATGGTTGTTGCCGATCTTATTAAAATTGGATTATAATTTGTTTTTTTCGTTATAATTTTTCGTTGGTCTCCGTTGTAATCTGGAAAGATTTATACCAAGGCCACGCACGTTCATTTCAATCAATCACTGTGTTCTTGCAAAATGTGTGTCGATGAAAAAATGGACTATGGTAGAGTGATATGACCAATGAGATTACGAGACTGCCGATTCTCGCTTGTAAAAGTTATCCTGGTTGACCAGAGCGGCGCTTCATTGTCTGCAATAAGTAGCTTGAAATGTTACCAGTACGTATTCTGTATAAATTTGTAAGATTAAGCTTTCAGTGAAGATCGACAACAACAAAAAATAATAACTAAAAAAATTGTAATTCAAATACCCACAATTATAATTACCAATCGGTAAAAATTTGACGGGTTAGTTCGGCCAGAATAAGATGATTGCCGTGCCGATAAAGCTTAATTTCAGCTCCCTTTGCCACTTCTCAGATTAATAATTCATTTCCATGTCGACACTTCAGAGATGTTTATTAGCATTCTCATGTGTAGATATTGCGGTTCAAATGTTATGCAGCCACCACTGATGCCCGTATATTCTTCAGAACTATTGATCGCAACTCTCTTTAAAATAAATATACACATGATGAATCATGCATATAGCCACAATAAACTGCACGCCTGAATTTTGACATTCATTTTATTTCTAACTATTTTCTATTTACAAAATGGTATATCGACATGAATCATAATAGACTTATAGTTACATTTAAAGTCACTTGTACGAGCGTTTATTTGATAAATATATTATGTAAGAAAAAACTTACCTCGTAAATCCCCTGTACCATCCCCATCACTGTCCTTAAACGACCGAGGGTATACCTGGTAAATTATAGTTGTTTGCCACCATTCCAGTTGAGGGTTTCCAACAGCCGACTCACAGATCTGAATTACCAGAAAATATATCAAGAATAATGATTTCATTGTTCAATTTTTGACTTAACCTTGACAACATAATTCATCTTTTCCAGTGTTCATTCAAATGGAAATTATCGTCGGTAAACCAGGCTACTCAGGTGTAGCATTCGTACTATATTCTGCATTATCTTCACAATGTATATGAGACTCAGAAAAGGGATCGAGCCACTCATTGCGTCACCTTCTTATATTGATAATTGTATTAATATTCAGACCCGAGTAAACAAAACTTGTATTTACTTAGTAAAAATTATTTCATGAACTTAAAAAACGGCTTTTAGTCTGATTAAAAGCCCTGACAAGTTTGCCACCCGTTTTACCAATCGTATCTTAGTCTCAGAAACGGGAATCTTTTCGATAAGCTAACCAGTTATAATGTTCACAGCTCATCGTCGAAATATGATTTTCCAAATCCACGTATCTCTAGAATTACCCACGTTTGAGAGCTAATACGACAACTCGTCTTTTCTTAAGATGCTTTGATGTATAGTAAAGATATAAATATATAGAAATAAAAAGCGAAATTCCTAGTTTAATGTATTTTTGAACAATTATGCGATTTTCGTACATTTATAATAGCCTACTTCTGAAGACTATTTACATATTATATTTAAGACTCAAATTAGTCCGAAACATCTGTCTCTATTCCAGCCTCTGATGGATATTTTGACAGTTGTCAGCTGGATTAGAGTCAGAAAAAAAGACCTTGTTAAATGGGAATTTTCCACACCTCAAAAGATGCGTTACATAAAATTGTAAATTAGTGTTGGGCATCACCTTAACTTTCGTTTTGTTGGTATCACCTGACACTGTGACCTTTGAACTTTTGGCTGCGCACGCAGTTTTAAACGGGCAATGCTAGATCTGTTTCACCAAAAGAAACTTTGATGGAACCGGTACATGACATAAATGGTGTAGGGAGAAAATGATCGTATGACTGTACTACAAAAATATTCATCTTTCCAAATATACCTGGGTTGTGCACATCAGAGGTATCTTAAGAGGTTTAAAAACCCCGCATCTGCGGAAATGCGGAATTGCTCCATTTAAAAGGGCCTTAATTTTCTGTCTCTACATCAGCTGACATCTGTCCAAATAGCTATCAGAGGCTGGAATAGAGACTTATAGACTCAACCCCCGAAAAAAAAAAACCTGTGTCTTTTAAAGTTTATAAAACATAAAATATGTCTAGTTTAATTCAAAAATCCAGTTAAGGTGGATTGGAATACATGTATATCGGACAATGTAAATATTTATTGTAGTGAACTCCTTGCTATAAATAGTAGCCAGTAGTTATTTAACCTATTTCCGCAAAAGGGCGCAGCGCCATTCAAGTGCAAACCACCTAGCGTTTGAAGTGAAGCCATAGATTAATGAAGAACACTTAATTCGGACCAAATAAAATAGATGACGTTGACTCATTGTATGGAAAAAAAGGATTGGGAATTTTGAACTTCAAGGGAGGTAACTTATAACAAAAAAATCAAAACAGGTCAAAAAAATAACTTTAAGGGAGACAACTTATCACAGTAATTTAAAGTAGACCAGTTCGATTGAATTCATTTTCTCATCATAGCACGAAAAGAGCTGGCGAATTTGCATTTGAAGTCGCGTAAAGTCGGTAGTGGTCCAGCCGCCAATAACACTTTCGATTATATCGTTCATTACTAGTTGAAAACACACATTCGCCGACAAGTAAGAATATCCCAGGAATATAATTGTTTTATTACCAATTCCATATATTTTACATTTACACTATAAATAGGCCTAGCCATTTAAAAACATTTCTAAAAAAAAATATAATTCATCCTTATTATTATTATTAAAGCTTTTTAAAAAAAAATTCTAAAAAAAATTACAATTCATCCTTATTACTCAGTACTTCTAATACCAAACCTTGGTCCGGTTTTAATACTATTTTAGATAAATCAATTTTCATATTCTGTTCATTAAAATTACCAGTATGAGCTATTACTTTACCCTCCCTCCCATTGACAGAACTCGTATAATCATCAATTGATTTGGATTTACCAAAATTGATAGTCACTAAATATTGTGGCTGGCCTTCTGTTTGTCTGACATAAGAAAATATATTATCATTAACAACTGAATAAAATAAATCACCATATTGAAAAGATGGTTCTTGACGTAAACGAGCTAGCTGACTGTAGAGTTGAATTGGGCTGAGATCATTCGATGCCATCTGTGTCTGAAATAGAGGTAAAAGTGTATAATTTGTAACATAAAGGTTATATATCGACCTAACGTATAATTGCGTGTATAATGCGCAGTATTATATGTTTGTTCCAAACATTAAATGTGTACATTATAGACATTGTCAAATTGAGATAATTGTGTCTCAAAACATTCGATACTGATCCCAGTAGCGTTTCTACGTGCCCCTACCCACACACACTTTCAAATTATTTATCATTTTACATAGTGAAAGAATGGTCTGCGGCACCCTTTGAAAATTTTGTGGCCCCTGCTCGGTCCCCTCACCTGATGTTTCCTAGAAATGCCACTGACTGATCCTTCTCCATGTTGTATTTTTATATTAGTTAAAGTTGGCTTGTACAATGCTCGATATTATTCGAGCATAATAGGGTGGGTGGATATACTTATTTTGTACCTGAATATTGAGTGTTTTATAATTGGGGTGAACTGGTAACCATGGTTTGTTTGCCGTAGTAAAACCACTCTGATATCCGTCATTCCATTGTAGAGGGGAGCGACATGGATCACGGGAAAATTCTTCGTATCTCTCCTGACGAAGACAAGTTAAAAATGTTATCCAATTTATCAGACACATATTAACTAATATATAATTACAATAAGATACTTTTTACAGCGTAAAACTGTCCACGATAAGGATATTCTTTTTTTCAAGATCATTATAAACAACTTTAAAATAAGAGTTAATTTTTAACAATGATTGTCTAGGGACTTCTCAACATTAGGTAGAAAACATATCTACATGTACATTAAGGCAGTATAGAAATTTCGTGGATGATAGGCTACGTTTCTCCTTGATCTAGATTTCAATAACTTACAGGGATTTGTACAAGTACAATGGTCTCACCTTGCCATAATTAAGTCCCCATGGATCCTGAGTATCTTCAAAAGAGACATGTATTTCTTCCATTCCAATTTCTTCACCATAGTAGGTTGTTGGTGTTCCTTTCAATGTTAACAGTAACATGTTGAAAGCGTTGGCAGCTCTAGCACCCCTTTTCTTGGTAATACGTTTTCTATCGTGATTCCCCATCTATATCAAAGAACCATTCGTTTTTTTTTATTGATTTACATACAGTAGCTTCATTTCAAGTAGATTCTCAGACAAAAGTATTTTTCTGGTAGTTCATTGAAGCAAGCTATAGGCAACAGATTGAAAAGCGAAATACATGTATGAATGATATTATAAAATGGTAGATGGTTTCAATAATGAACTAGTTTGATGTTCAGATGTCATATTTTGTAAGTGTAAAGACTATTCACAAATTATCAAGAGAACAAAGAGGGGTCTGTAAAACTTACAACAAAATTAGGCCAAGAGTTTTGCGGTAGATTAGCATACTCAATATCAACCAAATCTCTAATTTGTCGCCCACCACTTTCCGGTCTTATACCAATAGGTTCGATGAGATCAAAATTAAAAGGCAAATGGACTCCATAGTCTAGATAGGCGTTTCTTTTCTCTGGTGTATCGTAAAACTCTACCACCATAAACCTGCAAAAAAAGTCGTATTAATAACACTTTACAAAAATTAGATTACAATTTCGTTTCTTGTTTGTTTTCTGATCTCCATTGTAGCCTAATCTTCTAACTTTTCTACCACAATCCCGTTGTAATGACGCTATATTGCACCAGTTCCAGAAAAATTAGTTACTTATATGAGACTTAAATAAATAAATAAATATATAAGAAGTTAATTAGTATTAATACCATACAAGACATAAGGTACGCAAACCTTAGCGTTAAAAAGCTTATAAATGTCCAGAAGAAGTTTAAAACTACTTTCTTTACTTAAAGTCCTGAATGGTGTTCAGTGCAATACAAATGAGATTTGGACCCTCAAACTTACACCATTGTTTCTTGGATTTGATTGGTGGATGATTTCTCGTCAATGAGAAGGTTTCAAGTTGTTTCGATTGGTCTCCTGTCAAGATTTAGTTTTTGTACAGTTATTATATTATGCTTGTGTGTGAGCTGAAATCAGGCGTAAAGGTAGAAAACCTTACTGAATGTAACCAAGACGCTCATTCATGCTGAATGCAGATCCGTAACTATAAGGTTATATAACTGTTATCAGGTATGTTATCCTTACTTATATTATGTTTATTCATTGCAAAACGCATACTCAGATGGAACAATTAACCACGGCCTTTTAAATTTTACATTTTTTTCTATCAAACAAAAATAAGAAACATGTTCATCGAATGAGCATAACATGTACTAATACCATCGGATTCCCGAGGCAGGGTAGCTGAATTCTGAGCCAAACACGTATTTGTTGAATATATGGTAGTGTTATGTGTTGTTGGTGTAAGGCTGGAGTAGGTGTCTAAAACAGGAAAGTGTGCGACAATATTCTGGTTACCTAAATTAGATTTAGGGGGTAGTTACTGATATTGGTAGGCTACCTTTCTAATCCGTCTTTTTGGGAATGTTTGTCCATAACATTTCGCCATCCTCGTATAGCACCTCGTATTTCTGGTAAATTAGATGTGTAGATATGGTCTAAGTACTCGTACTGAAACTATAAAACAATGCATACTTATGTAGTTGATTCTCAAAGGCAATAGTGCTATTTCAATCCGCATTTTTGTCGCTTATTTCATATTCTTCATTGCAAAGAACACTATCATTAGCTATTATTGTACCTAAGAAAAGGATTGTCAGCTTCAAACAGATCAATCCAAGGAAACATCTACTATAGGCAAGGTATATAAATATAAAACGCTGTAAAGACAATGATATATAAGGGATTATGAAAAAAACTGGCAGATGTTTTTTGTCTTTCCAACTTTCTTCGGGCCCCAGATTATTTAGTATCTTGAATACTTCCTGGTGGAAAATGCGTGCGGAAATGGGTGATTCGAAATTCAGGTTACACATTTTAAGGAATATTTATAACTTTATAACAACATTACTCTGTATATATTTTATAATGTATCTGTTTTAAAGCAATAAAAGATTTATTGGAAAAAAAAGAAATTCAGGTTAAACCCGACCTGTTGTAGTTAATCGTAAAAGGGCTGATACTTACTGGTGGAACCCCTGGTTTATAACTACGAGGTTCATCTTGAAATATATCCTCTGTTTCAATCAGATTAGTGATAGCATCTACCCTTATACCGTCTACACCCATCTTCATCCAAAAATCTATCACTTTCTGTAAATAGAGAAGTAGTGTACTGTCAGGATCGCGGATCTCGTTGGGAAGGAAAATGGGTAATTAGAATGATGTTATGTTCTAAAACAATTTTACAAAAAACGTTAACACAAGAGTTAGTTTATAACAATGATTTCGGGTTTCGTTTTGTTGTTGGGATCGATGGTACTTTTGTGCCAATGAAATGTGTACCACTACAAATGGAAATCGAATAAAAGTCAAGACAAGCAGATATGATTTTATTCAAGCATACAAAACTACGTATGGTTCCTACATTGAAATAACACACATGAACGTAGTTTTTAAAAAGGCTATAATATTTCAACTAAGACTTCAAATCACATTTTAAAGGGTTAGAAATGAATTTAACTGTGTGGGAAGGCTTCGTTGAAACATTGTATTCTTTTTAAAATTCGACTTATTAAGTCAAGGAGAGATTCAAAATGGTTGTAAACTGCGCTCGTACGTGTGTTATTTCTACGTAAGAACCATACGTATGTTTATTCAATTCATATTTTATGGGTTAAAATATAATACTCTTACATTCATCTCATCCACAACTTTAGGGTTTCTATAGTTGAGATCTGGTTGTTCTTCAACAAAAGCATGGTAATAGAACTGTTTCCTCTCATCATTCCATTTCCAGACCTCGCCACCAAAAACACCCAACTACGAAAATATACAAGATCGTGTTCATTAAATCAAAATGGAGCAACCTAAAAATCCAATTTCGTTTCACTTGAAACATACATTAGAAAAATGCTGGTACGGGTCATACATTTGCTGTTTCAGACAATATTGCTGCATAAATCCCAGCGCACGCCGACAGATCTTTTGACGAATATTTTACTTCAAAAGACTCTGGTGTTTCAGTTCCAATTTCACGTCGATAAAAAATCTCTTATATCACTGTGATATCTCTTTTGGACGCATCTCTTAGCATGGCTGTTATTTTTATTTTGACATTTGTTATACGAATAGAGAGACGAGTTTGTAGTAACATACCCAATTATTTGGTTTGGTCCGCGCACCATCGGGACCTGTTTTACCATCAGTCCAAACATAAAAATCTGTGTATGGTTCTTGTTTTTTAATACTGGCTTGAAACCAGGGATGTAGATCACTGGTATGGTTGGGTACAAAATCAATTATCACTTTAATATCTAGGGTAATACAACAACAAAGGAAAATATTGGAAAACAACAAATTAAGGTTGTCCGAATGTTTGTAACAGTTAAGTGCAGGGGAAATGTACAAAGGTATTCTTCTCTCAATTTGATATCTATAGACCAATAATAAAGGTATAAAAAATTGAGAGGAGGTAAGGGCAAGAGTGAAAAATAGGAAGAAATGTCATGGTGCTGATTATCATTTAAAAAAAATGCTTCGAAAATAATCAGTTAAATACAAGGTAAGGGTTTTTTCCCGGATTATCCCAACTCATTTAAGGTCTATTGACCAATACATAGCAGTACGAGATTATTGTCTCAATATGTGTTGGATTTAGATGTTTCTGGATGCGCCGCATGACGGTCGTAACCTACCACCTACCTCGTTTATGGCATTCTTCTATCAGTTCGGTCACATCATCCAGATCTCCAAACAAAGGATCTACATCAGTATGGTTAGAAATATCATAACCAAAGTCTTTATTAGGTGATTTATAGAAAGGACTTAACCAGATAGCCTGGACACCAAGATATACAAAATGATCCAGTTTAGAGATGATTCCTGGAAGAAGCGAAATAGATTATATTTATACCCCTTTTCTTCAACCATAGGTGGAAGATTGCTTTCGAAGTCGGAAGAGATATATAAATCAGACGAAGATAGTGTAAAATGAGATATTACAGGTAGCCCCTGTGGTGATAACTGATGGACCTAAGGGCTCTGGTACCCTTGTTTGGGAATCACGTGTTTTTAAGAATAAAATTGTCTGTAATATTATTTTAAAAGCCTAAAATATAGCGATGACCACAGTAATACGTCCACAACTGTAAGAGCTATCAATAAATGAAATATTTTATAGAGTAATATTTTGATACTGCAGAGTTTCTGAAGACGTTATGAAGCTGAATATCAGAGATCTGAGAAGTAACTAAAATGTCGGAGAATGACCTTGTCCAAAGTCATCGTCATATTGACGTGGATTGATAATACTTAGAGGGATGACCAGTTCACAACATCAAAAGCAGGGCGACATCAGTTGAATAAGGATGGTGAGCATGTTGGGTAGCACAAAGGTTGTGGTTTGGGCTCAGCATTCTGGAGCGTGATTCCAATATGTTGGAGAACGACCTCAGGGACAAAAGGTTTATAAGAATAGTCATCAGTCTACGACTATGGAATATTATTTGCACCTCTGATATTCCGAATGGAGAATGAACAGAATCTCACCTGTAAGGTTGATTCTGGCCGACCTTTGTATAATCAATAGATGAAATGTCCCTTACCCTTAAGATCGCCAACACCATCTCCATCACTGTCCTTAAACGACCTAGGATAAATCTGATAAACAATGGTCGTCTGCCACCATTTGAGATCCGGTTTCGCCTGTATGTGACCGAAGCTCAATAAACTCAGACATAGTGTAACGACAGAGTTTCCTAGTGCCCTCATAGTGGTTCACTTTCACCTTCTCGTTATGAAGTCTTCGTCATTTCCCTTCCTTCTACTTTTCTCCTGACCTTGTTTTTCCATTTAATCTTCACTAAGATTATAAAACATCTTACGAGTATACTAGAGCGTCTTATTCAAGAGTTTTCTCAATACTTGTCCTTTCTTCATCTATTTATTCAGTATTATGTATGGGTAACTTGATCTACAAGTAAGGTTAGACAATATAGGCTTGTGTTTACCCATATTTTCTTTTAAAAAAATATATGGTAATGAAATAGGTCTATTTAAAATTTGTGACCTTTCAGGTCAAACTAAAACAAACGAAACGTACGAGGCTTTTATTGTGGCGTAATTGGATTGACATGCAATGAGGGATCATATACCGTCATCCTTGCCCTCGCCATCATCATAGGCATTTCCCGCGCCATCACAATTGCCATTATCGCCCTCATCATCAACTTAGCCATTGTCGACCGCATCTTCAGATCACCACCATAGCTAGTGATCTAGTCAACAGCATGGACATTTCCCCATTGTCGACTTCACCATCTGATCATGATCATAGCCAGTGTCTTAGTTAACAGCATGACCATTGTCATTATGACCATTTCTCCCATCATCATCATAGTCATTATCGACCTCTCCAGCTGATCATGATCATATCCAGTGTCTTAGTCAACAGCATGGCCATTGTCATTATCGTGACCATTTCTCCCATCATCATCATAGTCATTATCGACCTCACCAGCTGATCATCATCATATCCAGTATCTTAGTCAACAGCATGGCCATTGCCATTATCGTGACCATTTCTCCCATCATCATCATAGTCATTATCGACCTCACCAGCTGATCATCATCATATCCAGTATCTTAGTCAACAGCATGGCCATTGTCATTATCATAACCATTCCCCTCCTCATCATCATAGCCATTGAGATCGCCCTCATCGTCATCACCATTGACATAGTTCTTGACATCGTCATAGACATTGTCGTCATCATCATTACCATTGACCTCGTCATAATCATAACAATGATCGCCGTCATCGGCATAGTCCGTGTCCTTGTCCTTGGCATGATCATGGCAATTCTCATCATGACTATACCTTGTCTTTGTAATTACCATAGCTATCATCATAACTATTGTCCTGGTCGTAATCATATTCACTATCTTTTATCTATTATCATCGAAACTGTGGTCGTCATCGACACTATGATCATTGTTCTGGCCATTTTCATAGACAATATATTCGTCGTCATCAAAGACAGTCATCGTCAGCATCATAATTATAGGTGTCGTCGTCCTCGTCATATCAAAAATACTGTCGCCCTCGTCATCATCGAAGACCATTGCCCTCGTCATAATCAATAATCAATAATAGACATTGCCGATGTCATCATCATAGCCATTAACCTAATCAGCATCATAGACAGAGCCGTGATCGTCATAATCAACAGAGCCATTGTGTTTTCGTCATTACAGAAACTGCCCTGTCAGATACATTGTCCTCGTCATCATAACAGCTATTGTCCTCATCATCAAAACTATTGTCCTCGTCATAATCATAGTTATTGTCCTAGTCATCATCATTGATATTGTACTCATCATTATCACAGTCATTGTCCTCACCATCATAGCTATTGTCCTTATCATCATCATAGTCATTGTCCTCATCATCATAGTCATTGTCCTCGTCATCATCATAGTCATTGTCCTCATCATTATCATGGTCTTTGTCCTCGTCATCATCATAGTCATTGTCCTCATCATTATCATGGACTTTG